GTTCCATCCACGTTGAAGCAAATGGTGGGTATTTGTCATTTCTAATGGCTGAGTAATATTCCATCGTATACATAAACCACATCTTCTTTATCCATTCATCTTACGATGGACACCGAGGCTCCTTCCACAGTTTGGCTATTGTGGACATTGCTGCTATAAACATCGGGGTGCAGGTATCCCGGCGTTTCATTGCATCTGTATCTTTGGGGTAAATCCCCAGCAGTGCAATTGCTGGGTAGTAGGGTAGCTCTATTTTTCACTCCACACAGTTTTCCAGAGTGCCTGCACCATTTCACATTCCCACCAACAGTGTAAGAGGGTTCCCTTTTCTCCGCATCCTCTCCAACATTTGTGGTTTCCTGCCTTGTTAATTTTCCCCATTCTCACTGGTGTGAGGTGGTATCTCACTGTGGTTTTGATCTCACAGAGGAAGACATAGACATGGCCAACACGAACATGAGAAAATGCTCTGCATCACTTGCCATCAGGGAAATACAAATCAAAACCACAATGAGATAAAGATTTTATTTATTTTTTCATGAGAGACACACACAGAGAGGCAGAGACACAGGCAGAGGGAGAAGCAGGCTCCTCGCAGGGACCCCGATGTGGGACTCAATCCCAGGACTCTGGATAATGCCCTGAGCCAAAGGAAGATGCTCAACCACTGAGCCACTCAGGTGCCTCATGACCACTAAGTTTAAATTTTAAAAAATTCAGTTTCTCAGTCACACTATATTTCAAGTGCTCAATAGTCCTAGATCTAGTGGCTATCATACAAAATGGTAAAGATATAAAACATTTCCTTCATCAAAGAAGATTCTATTCAACAGTGCTGGTCTAGCCCTTCTGCAGTGAATTTGGCAGTCATTTACTAAATGAGATGAAGGATCAGGAGGCCCAGACAGAGGGGAGAATGGTGCTTCTAAGGATTAGGGCAAATTTTATAGGTTTAAGTGTCAATTAGAAATAATGCCTAAAGTTAAACAATTAAGTGGCCAATGGGTAGGTAGCACAGTCCTACTTGTGTCTATAGCAGAAATCTGGAGACAAGGGGAATCTTTGCTAATTTAATAACAATGCTACCTTCCTCAACACTGAAAATATTTGTATTGTTTATCTGCTTATGGTGCTATGAAAATAAATCAACAGAGTATCCTGACTTTTGGACTGATACCCCCTCAGAAATCTTATTAGCACTCTTGAATTATGTTCTCCATGAAGGGAGAGTTTGTAAATCAAAGGTAAACCCCAGGGCTTGTTGAAACAAATTCCTAATCCATGTAGTCCTGGAATCCCTGAAAAAATCCTTTTGGAAATATTTAATATTATTTAAATTATGATTAGAGCCAATGACTGTCAGTATGGCTGAAAGATTCCCTGTGGGAGTCATAAAAATTCTCCATGCCTCCAACCTAGCAGAATCAAGTTAATCAGAGCATTTTGAGAAAAATTTCAGAAGGAAATGAAGTGGATTTTTTTTCCCTAAGGAAAACAGAATCCACCATAATTTCCAACCTGAACATACTATGTTTCCCAATTTTGTTACTTGAACATTTCTCCCAAAGAATCTAATGGGTGACAAAGCACCATTTATGACACTAGCTTTTTCTCTGATTATTCTGACAAGTCAAATGGCCCATGTTATTCTGGAGCCACAGATGTTGTCTATTTATTTTTCATGTATGAGTATGTGTCTATGTATCTAAATGTTACACTCCCTTTTTAAGATTTTGCCCTTCTTCACATTCCTACACACACAAGCACATCACGCTGGTAGCATTTTGAAGCAAAAGACAAACAGCATAATTTGACCACTATCTATGTGACCATATGCAAAGTTACTTAATTATTCAGGACCTTGTTTCAATCTACTTTAAAATTCATGCATAAAAAAATAAAATGCATGCATGAAAAAATAATCTCTAAGATATATTCTTATTAATTTACATCATTTATGATTTCTATATAATTGAAAAACAAATAGAAAAATATATTAAATATGCTACTTAAAATTCATTGTCTAGCTTAACCATTTATTAGTGTTAGGCAAGAATATTTGACTTATTTGTTATGCCTATAAATAAATTAAACTTTGTTTGACTTTCCCTAAGTATTCTTGAATTCACAAGAACCCTTAGCTATAAAGGCAAAATATCACATCATTAAATACCAGAACTGATGAGCTGATTCTGTTGGCTAGGTAATCCAGGATAAAATTTGCCATGATATAGAATTTTGACCAAACCAAATGTGTATTTTTGTCCTATAAATTGAAAAATTGTCCTGCTGACATTGTTATCAATGGGCTCCATCCATCTAGTTTGAGTTACTCTAACCTTTCAGATATCCTTATTTCATCAGATACTTTTAAAATAACACAAGTTATCATATGATCTTCAGAAAAAATACTTGATCCCCTAACATCTTCATAGGAAAATAATATTTAGTCAGGAGGCAAGACTATAATGTGAAATAGTGTCACCCTGGAAACCAGAAAAATGAAATTTGAGTCCTGGTTTCCATTTAATCCAGTAGATATATATTGAGCAACCACTATGCCCCCAAAATGCTGGGCTAGCATATGGAGATAATAGTGGGAAATAAGACAAATATAACTTACTAATTTATTGGGGAAAATAAGCATTAAATATGTAACTGCAAATGTGATAAGCATTCCCACAGATGATATAAAGGTTCTATGGGAACATAGAAGGCTTTTATTCAGTCTGAGGGATAAGCTCAGAAAGAAAATTGAGAGTTCTTCAGGGAAAGATAATGGAGAATTAAGCCAAACAGTGGGGAAAGCATGTGCAAAGGCTTAGAGGCAAGACTATCATATCTATGAGAAATTAAAGGAAGTTCAAACCAGCTAGAGTATAGAGAACAGGGAAATAGTCTTAGATGAAGATGAGGTACACAGGAACCACAATGTAGAAGACATTAAAAAAAACCCATCCCCCCCCCAAAAAAAAAGCCATTAACCAGCTGTGATAGTGGGAAGACCTAACCTCTCTAGGTCATTGTAGTATGGGAGCTTAGATAGGTTGACTGCAAGGAACCTTTTAGCTCTGAGGTTGAAAGGATCTATGACATCTAAGTATTCCACACTGCAGAAGTCCACTAGCTTAGATTCAAGGTTTGAGAGAAAAGCAAATATTTAGGGTAAACTTTAGCCTGACATCTCAAGCAATTTTTTACTATTTTATGGAGGTCTTTGTATGTTGTTAGGGCAAAAAAAAAGCATGAAAACGCCAAATTTTCATGCTATGTGGTCTAGTCACTGAGTAGAGATTCTGAGAGTATTAGTTAGGTCTTTTGTCCTGCTTTGGACCTTTGCTGACTCACCCATTCTCTACCTTATTACTTCTATTTGTCCCTCTGAAATTACCATGGGGATACTAAAAACACTTCTCCTATGACAGTCATGATGATTACATTGTATAAAATGTTGTAAGTATATGGAAGGAAAGATATGGGCAATATTATAATTGGTTCAGTTCAGCCTGGCCAAATAAGTTGCCTGAATTTCAGAGAGATGATATTTCTTGATATTCTTATGTGCTAGGTAAAGTAATTTGGCTTAGAACAAAGTTCCAGTAAGCAGTCACAGCTGGCAAGGAACAACTGCCAAGACTGTGTGCCTTGTAAAATCAGGAAAATGTCTTTTTTGTTCTACTATATTTGGAACACCTAGATAGTGTCAAGGCCCAAACTCAATAAATATTTATGTAAATTAATCAAGGTATTCATTGGTATGGTTTATGCTGACTAAATTTACTTTGAACATGCAGCAAGAACTCATAAAAATCATTAAGGATACTAATCTACATTTTCAAAACTGGCCACATTCTTCTCTTGTTTATCCATTCTGGTTAGCTTTGTGTAAATCTTGACTTCCTTGGTTTTCCAACCTTAGCTTGGCTCAGTTACTCCATGTTAAATTTCCTCTAATGCTGGCCTTAACAACAGTTTGGATTCACTACTCCAGCTTAACTTGGTATCTCACTTTGTACCAAAGGCTAATATTTGACCTTTGGAATAACATACACTGTGACAGGAACTTTTGGTTTAATCTTCTAGTGATATAGAATAAGCCACTTGTGAAAGCAAGGTGTGTGCATCACCAGGCAGTCCTTTGCTGCATTGTGGCAAAAGTTGCTTCCTTTATATTCAAGTCATTTAACCTAATTCTTTACCTCAGAGAAACACAGAATAAGTCTACCCCTCTTTCACACAGCATTCATTCAAATATGTGAAAATTAGTGATTATACTCTACCACAGGCTCTTTGCTGGAAACTCAACCATCTCATTGGACAAAGTTTTGAAACCATCTATCTTTCTGATAATTTGAGTACAAAAAAAGAAATTGTAGGGCAAGAGCCACCGTAACCTAAGTTATGGAAACTGGTAAACCAGAAGAAAATATTTGTAAGACATATCACAGATAAAAGCTAATATCCATAATATGTAAACAATTCATAAAATTAAGAATAGAAGGCCTAAAAATCTGATAAAAAGATAGGTAAAATAGACAGTTCAAAAAAATATACTTAAAATGGCCCTCAAACATATGAAAAGATGTTCAATCTCAATTACGCTTCATAAAAATTAAGTTAATGCATATTAAATAATATTGAGATACTTCCTCTTATCTATTAGTGAAAATTAAGAAAACAAACAAAACAAACAACATCAAAAGAAACCCTTCATATTTTGTTAGTGATGCTACATAGAAACAGATACTCTCTCTTTTTCACCCGCGTTTAGGCGGTTAGGCCGCAGGGACCGAGTAGGTCATTCGGGTGGGAGGGACAGCCCCATTGCAGGGGAGTGTAAGGGATGGGTCAGGGCCCAGATGAGGATCCGGGATGCTGAGACTGAAAAGGATTGACCTTAAAAGTCATTCAGCGCACACACACCCCTTTTAACTGCACATTTGAGACTGAACGCTGGGAGTCGGAGGCCCCCAGAAGAGGCTTCCTAAGTTCATGTGTTAACTGTCTTGCTTATGATGAAGCCATCATGGCTCAGCAGGACCGAATTCAGCAAGAGATTGCTGTGCAGAACCCTCTGGTCTCAGAGCGGCTGGAGCTTTCGGTCCTGTACAAGGAGTATGCTGAGGATGACAACATCTATCAACAGAAGATCAAGGACCTCCACAAAAAGTACTCCTACATCCGCAAGACCAGGCCTGGTGGAAACTGTTTCTACCGAGCTTTCGGATTCTCCCACTTGGAGGCGCTGCTGGATGACAGCAAGGAATTGCAGCGGTTTAAGGCTGTGTCTGCCAAGAGCAAAGAGGACCTGGTGTCCCAGGGCTTCACTGAATTCACAATCGAGGATTTCCACAACACGTTCATGGACCTGATCGAGCAGGTGGAGAAGCAGACCTCTGTAGCTGACCTGCTGGCCTCCTTCAACGACCAGAGTACCTCGGACTACCTGGTGGTGTACCTGCGGCTGCTCACCTCCGGCTACCTGCAGCGCGAGAGCAAGTTCTTCGAGCACTTCATCGAGGGCGGGCGGACAGTCAAGGAGTTCTGCCAGCAGGAGGTGGAGCCCATGTGCCAGGAGAGCGACCACATTCACATCATCGCACTGGCCCAGGCTCTGAGCGTCTCCATCCAGGTGGAGTACATGGACCGCGGCGAGGGCGGCACCACCAACCCGCACATCTTCCCCGAGGGCTCTGAGCCCAAGGTGCACCTTCTCTACCCGCCTGGACACTACGATATCCTCTACAAATAGGGCTGGCCCTGGCCTCCTGCTGCCCTGTCTGCCCTCCCCTCTGCCGGGCGCTAGACATGTACAGAAGTTTTTTGTGGTTGTAAATGGTCATATTTCACTCCCTCCTCCACTTTCCCTGTCACGCAACCTTCCACATTTTATTAAAGGGGATGCTGGTGGTGAAAAAAAAAAAAAGAAAAAGAAACAGATACTCTCATATACTGTTGGTGGGAATACAAACTCGTACAATTCTTTTAGAGGAGAATTTAAGATTACATAATAAAAATATATATGCATTTATCTATTGATCTAGCAAAAGACCCAAAACAATTTTTAGAAGTTTGAGGAGTTTATCTCAAAGATACATTCTCAGCAGTGTAAAATATATGCATAAAGAAGATTATTCATTGCAGAATTATTTATAATTGCACAATATTGGGAATAATTTAAATATAGCAAAGTGGTTGAATAAACTATGGTACATCCACACAATGCAATACTATAAATAGCATAGCATACTATATTTATACTATAAATAATAAGAATGAGGAAGTTATTTATGAACTAATATAGACTAATTTTTTGGGTATAACATTAGTACAATAGAAGCAACCTTCATAAGAGTGTCTACAGTATGCTATTTTGAGTGCAAAAGAAGAAAAAGAAGAAAATATACATAAATGTACTCATTTATGAAAAAAGAAAACAGAAAGGATAAACCAGAAAATACTAAGATTTTCTAGTATAGAAAATATACTAGTTGGTGGAAACGGAAATGTGGTAGAAGGGATTAGGAGAGTGACACTTCTTGAATAAAGAAATTTACATATATAAGTATATATACGTATATATGGTTTCGACTTAGAATGATGCTAATATCTCACATACTCAAAGAATAGAATTATGAATTAACTATGAATTAAAATGAATGGTTGGAGAAATGACCCCAAATGCAATGTACAAAGTAGGAGGAATCAAACTCTGTTACTAATAACATAACCACGCCGAAGGGGTAGTAGTGGTGAATAACTAACCAAAGTTACTTTGGAAAACTTTGACTACATACTCTAAGACTGAATGAAAAAAAAAAAGAAAAAAATACAAATATTGTACTTTAATTAGTAGGTTTATTTCCCACAGATTACAGGTTATTCTGAAACTGCTTTATGTGTATGTGATGAGCCAGCAAATATATTATGGATAATGAGAATTAGGTTGCTCTTTGCCAGAGAAAGAGGTTGTGAATTAGGGAAGGAAGAAAGCTGGAATAACTCTTGTGGACTTGGACTGAAATTTGAGGCATCAGTATAAGCTCAAGGAGTTACAAATGTATATGCGTAGATAGATATACAAATACTTATAGGTATACACACAATGGAATATTACTTAGTCTTCAAAAATGAAATCTTACCATTTGCAAAGACAAGGATGGAACTAAGGGTTTTATTCTAAGCCAGATAAATCAGAAAAAGACAATTATATGATCTCACTCATTTGTGGAATTTAAGAAACAAACAAAAGGAAAAGAGAGGATCATAGGGAAAAGGAGGGAAAAATAAAATAAGATGAAATCAGAGAGGAATATAAACCAGGAGAGACTCTTAACTATAGGAAACAAACTGAGGGTTGCTGGAAGGGAAGGGTTGGGGAGATGGGCATTAAGGAGGGCACGTGATGTAATGAGCACTGGGTGTTACATACAACTGATGAATCACTAAACTCTACCTCTGAAAATAATGACACACTATATGTTAATTAGTTGAATTTAAATTAAATTAAATTAAATTAAAAAAATAAACTACCACTCTGGAAAACAGGAACCAGGGCTCCTCAAACAAAGGTCACATTTCAAGGCCTGGGGAGGAAAAGTATAAGATAAACTTGTAACATCTTGTGGGATCAGGGATTAGGAAATGCTCAAATTATGAAAGGAGAAAAATGCTCATATCAAAAAGATGATGGAGCCAATGAAATGAGCTCCCAGTGACCAAATCCAGAATAATTTGGCCATAAAAATAAATAATTATAATGTTGGCTTATAACTCAAAAAGTAAAATCCGTGAGTCCACACAGATATAAATAAGTAATTGAATGAATACACAAAGGGTGGGGAAAAGAAATATCTCCCTTGAATTAGATTAGAAATAATAAATGTAGAAGGAATACTGGAAATAGAAAATTATCATTTAACAAACATCAAAGTAATAGTTGTTAGGCAAGAATCATCAACTGAAGTTAAAATTAGTAGACAAGTGTGATGAGAAAAAAGATAATTGTTTCAAAGTTTCTCCTCATAAGATATTTATTTACTACAAAGGAAAAAACACAGTGGACGAGCCTAGCAGATAGCACCTTTATCAAATAGTCAAAGATAACATCATCATCGATGGATCAAATCAATACTGTATACCTCCTAATATGATGCCCTGAGAGGGACACAACATCACTTCTCTGGCATTCTTAAAAAACACTCATAACCTGAATTTAATCACAGGGAAACATACTACAAATTAAGGGGCATTGTCTAAAATAACCGAACAGTACTCTTCAAAATGTTAAGATCACAAAAGACAGAAAGACTGAGGAACTGTTCCAGAGTAAAAGAGACTGAAGAAACAAGACAACTAAATACAGTATATGATCCTGGTTTGGATCCTCAGTCAGGAGATGACATACCTGGGATAACTGGCAAAATATGAACAAGGTCTGTAAAATACCTAATAGAATTGTACCAATATTAATTTCCTGGTTTTGTTCACTACCATGGGTGTTCTGGGCTGAATTGTGTCCCCCATCCTCAAAAAAATCCTAAATCCTAACACCCCAGTACCTCTGAATGTGATCATATGATAGAACCTTTATTTTTTTTAATAAATTAATTTTTATTGGTGTTCAATTTACCAACATACAGAATAACACCCAGTGCTCATCCCGTCAAGTGTCCCCCTCAGTGCCCGTCACCCATTCACCCCCATCCCCCGCCCTCCTCCCCTTCCACCACCCCTAGTTCATTTCCCAGAGTTAGAAGTCTTCATGTTCTGTCTCCCTTTCTGATATTTCCCACATATTTCTTCTCCCTTCCCTTATATGAATAATAGTGAAAGGGAATATATATGAGGATAGAACCTTTAAAGAGGTGATTAAGGTAAAATGAGTTCATATGGATGGGCCCTAATTCCATATAACTAATGTTCTTATGAAAAGAGATGAACACAATGACAACACAGACTGACAGATAACTATGTGAGGGCATAGTGATAAGGTGACCTTCTGAAAGTCAAGGAAATGGGCCTCACGGAGAATTCAAACCTGCTAACACCTTGATCTTGGATTTTTAACTTCTGGAACCATGAGAAAATAAATTTCTGTTGTTTAAACCCTCCAGCCTGCACTATTATATAATGGCAGCCCTAGAAAACTAATACAACATGCGACAGAATATTATTTAGCCTTAAAAGGGAAGGAGATTCTGACATATACTATAAAATGACGTTATAGCAAGTGAAATAAGCTAGCCGCTAAAGGTCTGTATGATTCCCCTGATGGCTGTCAGGGGCTGAGGAAGGAGGAGATGGGGAATTAATGTTTAAGGGGTACAGTTTTGGTGATGCAAGATGGAAAGAATTCTGGAGATCAGTTTGGTGATGGTTGGGCAACAATATGAATGCACTTAATGCCACTGAACCATATGCTTAAAATAGTTAAAATGATAAATTTTATGTTTTGTATACTTTACCAGAATAAATAGAGAAGAGGAAAATTTGGATACATCAGGGGAAGACACACAGGGAGGAAAATATGACAATATAGGGAGAGATGGGAGTAATGCAGTCCACAAGCCAAGAAGCACTAAGGATTTCTGGGAGGCCCCAAAAGCTAGGAAAAAGCAAGGAAGAATTTTCCCCTACAGGCTTCAGAGGGAACATGGTCCTGCTGATGCACCTTGATTCCAGATAACTAGCTTTCAGAACTGTGAGAGAATTAATTTTTGTCGTTTTAAGTGAAGAAAAGAAGGGAGAAAAAAAAGAAAAGAAGGGAGGGAGAAAAGAATGAGAGAAATAGGGGAAGAAAAGAAAAAGGAAAAAAAAGAGGAAATCATAAGCCTGAGAACCTCTGAAGTTCTGTGATACCTAACACAATGCTCTATATCTAACCAGCTTGGAATGGCTTCAACAGAGTGAACTATCGTTATTTCATGTGGATTAAGTGCTTGAATAGTACAGGTCTGAAGTGTCCATAAGTGCATCTGCCCAAACAACAGCCAAGGATCATTCTTTTCCCTGGGGGATACACTTGTCTTTGTAAATCATTGCCTAAACACAGAATTACCAAGAAGAAAGGGTGAAGTACACAAACTTTTTCTCCTGTGACCCCACTTCAATTTCCCCCATGCTTGCTTTTCACCAGAGCAATAATGGTGGTGGGCAAATTGTAAAACAGTTAGGAAACTTGCTTCTATTTGCTTTGTGTTCACTTAATTCTTTTATTTGTCCTTATTCAACAAACAACTATTAAGTAACTTATATGTCCTAAGGAGCAATTCATTTAGTTGACAAATATTTATTGAGTATCTGCCATATGCTAGACATTGGTCTAGGTGTCAGAGATATGGTAGTGAACAAAACAATATCCCTGTGGCCACCATGAAAATGCACATCTCAGAGCTCCTACTGAGGGAATGTCATTAACTGCCAGCACCAGCTGCTGTGCTCTGAAATCCATCACCATATTCCTGCCGAGGCTACACTTCCCACGGGCTGTTCCCAGTTAATGACTGAACTTGGCAGAGGTACTAAAGCAAACCAGGTCCTAGAAGACATGAGACTCCTCTGATGGATGATTCTTACTGGACTTTGTGAAACTTCCTTAAAATTGTACAATCTATGGTCTTCCTTCTTTCCTCCTTCCTTCCATCTCTCCTTCACAGGAGTCAGAACTGCATCATAGTCTAACTTACCTTCCAGCTTCCTCTGGTTCCTTTCCCATACTCCTTTACTGGTGTTTCCCTTAATAAACCTCTTACATGTGTAATCCCATCTTGGTGTCTGTTTTTTGAAGAACATTGACTAACACAGTCCCCACTCCCTGCAGGAGGGGCCATAGGGAACATTTAAGAGAATGGACTCTGGAATCACACTGCCTGGGTTTGAAGCCCTTCCCTGCCACTTACTAACAACTTACTTC